TTTTTTTTTGTTTTTGCAAAACGTGCAAAGATACACACATGAAATTTCTTATGTGCACCCTCCACACAGACCCCAATCACCCCTGAAAATTTCTTTGATATCGGGCAAGCCGTCTAGGAGGAGTATGCGAACAGGAAGTTTTGCCACTTAATTTTATATATATAGATAAATCGTCTTGACTACTCTTGTCTTTTTAGTATTTAGTTGACGTATATAAACTCTTTTCTCAGTGTATTTATAAGGGAGAATGACTCGGTTTTTCCAAACCGGTTCCAACCGTTTTTTTTAACATTATTAGTCACCTTTTTTGAAATCACGACCTTACGAATCCTGAATAAAACGGATTTTTAAAATGGAATAAACTGGGTTTGCACCTTGTTTATTTATATACAATAATCTATAAATTTCAAATATTTATTTGATTGAAAATATTTATTTTTCTTAATTTTGCATCTGACTACTGGAGAATTTTTTACTGCAGAAAACTACTATATGTATAAATAAAAGGAACATCGAACCAACAATTTTCACTGATTTTTTGTTGCAGCAGCTTTCTAAACTCTGCCTAAACCATTGAATCGGCTTAATTTTGTCTTCATGCTCATCTAACGGGTTAGGGCCGTATGGAGGGGGATGTTAGATGAGCTGATGTGAGTGGTCATATAAAGAGGTGGGCTAATGTCATCGGGCATCTTATACAAATTGGGCTGAACAGTTTAACTTGCTCCAATATCAGAATAGGGTTGTGTCCAAGTATCGCCAACCTCACAAGCTCCTTGTCTGCAATAGGTAACGTTGGTCTCCGATGATGGAATTCAAAGGGGTGAGATTTGACGAAGGTGCTGATTGATTGTCGCTGAATGATCTGCCTATAATATACTTTTAGAAAAAAAGAGCTGTTGTTGTAGCGATCTAATCTTGTTATGATCGCTGAACCCCCATTAAGTGAATTTTTCCTTCATTTATTCGGTTTTACTTGTATCTTAATATACTAGGAACTTATTTTGAGAAATTTATTTGAAATTTATTTTGAAAGCCAATTTTTAGAAGTCATTTTGTAAATTTGGGAATGATTTTTAACTAGTAGCATCTAAGTGTTACTGTAGACAAAATATGTAAAATGAAACCGTTCATCCGATTTTTTGTCAATTTGAAAATGGGGAACCGGTATTTTCTAATTACCATTTTTCGCATAACTCGAAAACCGGTTTTCGGAATAAGGCGAATAGTCGAACACCATAGTATTTATCTATATATGTGCATATATGAACATAAACAATTTTCTAGATAATTCAACACAATTAATTTCTTAAAGAGCAAATTTTTCCAAACTTCGCACTTTTCTACACTTCTAACAAACAAATTAACATTTCGAACAGAAGTAAAAGAAGACACTTCTAAGAAAATTTCTGTGAAAAAATTTTGCACGTGTGCGGTCCAATTCAGCACATTCGTAATTAAAAAACTGCGGCCATTGATTTCTTGTGCGCTACAATCGAGGATGTCAAAAAGAGTGGCAACAGTTGGTGTAACACACAAATGTCAGAATATGGAACAATTCGAAACAACGGCTCCTAGGTACATGTCTGAAACAATCAATCTTGCTAAAAATATCGTATGTAGTCTCCTCTATCGA